TGCACCACCCAGGCAATCACAGGCACTTAAACACAAATATTTCTCCTAGTATATTGGTAAATTTATTTAAAAAGGTAAGGAAATCAATAAAATGTAGGATTTATTTTATTATCAGTAGGTAACTTGTTAAAGCCCATCTTTTTTGTGAGAAGGAATGTAAATGTTTGTTTGAAAGTGTAATTTCCTCATTTAAGAAAAAATGCTTTAACTTCCCTTTTTAATAATGACTTTATGGAAGTGGTCAAATTTGTAACTACTAGGATATTGTTTTTATAATTCTACCCTAGAATTTACAGTATTTCTAAGTATATATACTATTTAGAAAGTTGTTTTGACTCAATTGAGTGTTGCTATTTGTTTCCTCTGAGGGCTCTTTCTTGCTTTAAAAAAAAATCAAGATGTTCCCAATACAATTACATTCTAAAATTGCCTCTACATCTTTTTATATGATACCCTTATTTTTCTTTAAATTTGGTTTTGTTCTTACTCAAAACACTTTGTGTCAACAATTTTTTTCATTTTATTCCTTTATGATGAAGTACTCCTTTTGTTAGTTTTCCAAGATACTTCTTTAAGTTGGTACATAATTTCCGTAGGATTCTGGCCCATTATTTTTACTTTTGAATAGTGAGGGCTGATGTAAAAAATCTAAGAACTTTAAAAGGGTATCTTCTCTGTTCCTTCATGCCTCCAAATAAGAGAAGTGAAATTTTCCCCAGCTTCCTCGTATCAGAAAATATGCTCCAGAAGATTTACCTGTCCTTTTATATTCTGAGTAAGATCCTGATCTGAACTTTTGAGATGAAGACAATAATTTTATGGTTGGCTATAGTGGACAAGTAAGTTGTGGTGAGTTGAAAACTAAGTAGACTTAGTTTTACAGTGAGAACATTCCGGGAGGAAAAAAGAAAGTTAAGAAAAGTAGGCTCGTTTAAATTTTTAGAATTATTTCTAAACCTATTGATTCAGTAAAAATTTGAGTACCCAAACTAGTTTGAATTCTAGAGACTGACTATTGGAAGAAGAAATGATGCTTCAGGAACTTCTTTCCATCTCTTAAAGTTTTGTAACTTTTTTTTTTTTTTAATTTACTTGAGAGAGAGAGAGAGAGAGCACAAGTAGGGAGAGGGAGAAACAGACTCCCTGCCCAGCAAGGAGTCTGATGTGGGGCTCAATCCCTGAACCCTGGGATCATGATTTGAGCCGAAGGCAGACGCTTGATGACTGAGCCACTCAGGCGCTCAGGTGCTGCTTTAAGTCCTATAACTAAGTATAATGAATAATGTAAAATAATTGCTTTGTTTACATTGTAGAAATGTATCATAGGTCTTCTTAAAGGAGTAATGGCCCTCTAGGCAGTTATCTTTTATTCCTGTTAGATTACAAATTCCTTGTGAGTGAGAAACTGTCATTGTATCATCTGCAACACAGCATATGTGTTTACTTGGAAAAATAATCATTATAGCAAATAATAATATTTGAATTTTTCTTGTTTGTTAATATAATAAAAATTAAGAGTTTATTTTACTTTAAACAGAGGTGAAAGACTAAGGTCTTGGCTTTTTAAATGTCTTATTCAAGTATTTTTCTGATTGTTGGATTATGAAGTGATAATTTGTGTGCAGTAGTAAGTGTTTTGGTTTCTACCATGTGCTTGTCGTTATGCTAGATGTTATGAAGGTTACTACAGGCTAAAATACATATTCTCCCCTTCTGTATTCAAGAAGCTTCCTTCTTTGTGGGGAGCAAAAGTATTAAATAGTACAGAATAAGAGGTTTGAGAGAGGTTTTAATGGTAAGTTTAGAAGGAGAGGTATCCTATTTTGTACAGAACCTGTAAAAAGAAAACGGATGATATCATGAAATAAATTACTTTTAATTTATTAACCAGACAAATAAAAATATAATAATATAGCCACAATCATTATAGCCCTATTTTGGGGGACTTTTCCATTTTTACGAATTTTTTCCAAATTGCAGTTATCTCTAGGTGATCACAATTCAAGTCTTCATTCAGGAGTAGAAAAAAAAAAAAGAGTAGGTGTTAGAATAGGACAAAAGCAAAGAAGGGGCTACTAGTGGGACTACATTATTTTGTGAGTGATTTTGTGAAAATCACTCCATGGACTGTACGTTGCTGACCATTCTTGTACAGACTGAAAATACAGGTAGTTGGTAGAAGAAACTGAAGTCTCTTGCTATAAAAACAAACAAACAAGAAACCCAGATAGCCAAAGGAAACCCAGATAACCATACCATTAAAATTTTTTCTCAGATCTAGCCAATTTGTTACCTATGATTTTTGTGAAGATATTAAATTTCAAATATCCATCTCATCTAATTTTTACATGTTTAAACAAGGCCAGGACATTAGAGGAAATATACTAACAGTAGTGTAAATAATGTCAAAGGGCCAGAGACAATGGGAAAAGAGGTTTGTTTTTTAATCCATAGGAATAAACTAGAAAATCAGTATAGGTTTTAACCACTTACTACTCTAGGGATGGAGAACTCAGTACAACTCTTAGATACAATAATAGCAAAATACAGTTATATTTTCCTGTTGGTGTTACTTTTAGAAACCATAATAATGGCTGATACCATTTATTTTGTAGCTTTAACTATATGCCAGTCCCTGTCCCAATCATTTTACATAAGTCACATTTCATCACCGCTAAAGCTTTAAAAAATAGGCGGTATTCTTCCCATTTTAGGAATGAGAGAACTATATAAAACTCTAAGACCAAGTCTTCTGTCTCCAAAATCAGCCTTCTTTATGCTACAAGATAAAGTGGCATCCTATATTATTTATTTAAGAATTCAGGAAAGCGTGGAGCATACATGTTTAATATAATGTATGTAGTTATATATTAAGGAGCATACAGAGGGGCCTTTTTTTTGTTTTTTTATTTAATTATTTTTGTTAACATATAATCAATCCATTATTTACCCCACAGGTACAGGTCTGTGAATCATCAGGCTTACACATTTCACCAGAACTCACCATAGCACATACCCTCCCCAATGTCCATAACTCAGCCACCCTCTCCTTACCCCCCACCCCCTAGCAATCCTCAGTTTGTTTTGTGAGATTCACAGTCTCTTATGATTTGTCTTCCTCCTGATCCCATCTTGTTTCATTTTTTCCTTGCCTACCCCCCAGGCCTCCCACCCTGCCTCTCAAATTCTTCATATCAGAGAAATCATATGATAATTGTCTTTCTCTGATTGACTCATTTCACTCAGCATAATACCCAGAGAGGGGCCTTTTTAGAGAGTAGGACTGTCTACATCTCTTGCCAATCCCGGCCTTTCAGGTAAACCCAACTTTCTGTTTCTAATTCTTATTTTTAGACTCCTGAATGTAGCAGGAGATGATTACATGTTGTTTCTGATTGGCTCTATACAAATTCCATGTTTTTCAGCTTTACTTAGCCCTCAGTGGCTCTTAGTAGCACTTTTACTTGTCTGATATCATCTGTTGTATCTTCTGTAACCCTGGCTTGAAGTGTTCTTCATTCTTATGAAGCTCCTAGCCCTATCCTACTCTTCTTCATTCTTTTTTTTTTTTTTTTTTAAAGATTTTATTTATTTATTTGTCAGAGAGAGAGAGGGAGAGAGAGCAAGCACAGGCAGACAGAATGGCAGGCACAGGCAGAGGAAGAAGCAGGCTCCCTGATGAGCAAGGAGCCCGATGTGGGACTCGATCCCAGGACGCTGGGATCATGACCTGAGCCGAAGGCAGCTGCTTAACCAACTGAGCCACCCAGGTGTCCCTACTCTTCTTCATTCTTAACAGACTATCTCTTACTCGTCAAGCAAATGGAGATATTTTTATCTCCCCCTCCCCCCTTTTTTTTTTTTTTAAAGATTCTATTTATTTGACAGACAGACATCACAAGTAGGCAGAGAGGCAGGCAGAGAGGGGGTGGGAAGCAGGCTCCTTGCTGAGCAGAGAGCCTGATGTGGGGCTGGATCCCAGGACCCAGGACCCAGGACCCTGGACCCTGGACCCTGGGAATCATGACCTGAAGGCAGAGGCTTTAACCCACTGAGCCACCCAGGTGCCCCTTCCCTTTTTTTTTTTTTTTTGATCTTCTTAAACTCTTACTTACATTTACACTCCTCAATTCCCAACCTTCCTTTGTCCAAATCGATCAGTCCTTTGAGAATTGTCAAGTTTCTGGAACCATATGTTTGCTTGAACCTACGAGTTACAGAAAGTCTTCCTTCTTCCTGAATTTATACCTTCCATAGAATTTATCTTTACTTCTATGGCTTTGTTGCATTCTGCTGACTTCTAGGTAAAAATAGGTTCTACTGCTTTCATGAAGTCCTTCAGGAAGAAAACTTATTTTCATATTCCTCACTACCTAATATTTAATATATTAAGTTTTAATTGAATAAGTAATCTTGATAAAACTTGAGCTATAATAATGCAATAACAATGTTTTAATAATAGAAATCTTGAAAAAAATCTATAAACAAATTTATAGATTTATTGGAGCGTAATGGAAACAGAAACATCAAAGAAAATGATTTTCTCAACTTTTGAGTACCTTTATAATTATTAATCAGACATTAAATGGAATATGTTTATGTTGTAGGAGGAAGGAAGACTTGAAGGTATAGAAAAGAGTGTCAAGCATATTCTGATCGTATTGTCACATTTTTGTTGATTGAATTCTTAGAAACACCATATCATTATAATGTGGTTATATGACACTACTCTGGGTTATAAAATGAGAGCATTTAACTTTTCAAGGCACATTCCATCAGACAGGAAGGAGAATCAACATTTAGTTTCTGTGTTATTCTGTGACTATCACAAAAATAATTACTAATGAGGACTTGAAAAAGAGATGTTAGTTTATGTCATATTGGACTCACCATAGGCCTCATCCCTTAAAAAATGCATTTAAGTAGTTATTTCAAATGAACTTATATCAGGAAACAAAATAGGTCATTTTATAGTTAAAAATGTTTTTGTTTTGTTACAGGCAGCTGTTAAATCTAAGAAAGCTACAGATACCTATAAACTTTATGTGGAGAAGTATGCATTAGCAAAAGCTGATTTTGAACAGAAAATGACAGAAACAGCTCAGGTTGGTATTTTTAAGCTTTAAATCTAAAACAGGGTATTTGTTTTACTGATAGAAATAATATAATTCTTGTGTCATATAATTTTTTAGTATTAGAAATGTTGAAATGCACAATGTGTGTGTTTTATTAGTGCTATTTTAAAGATACACGTCTTGTTTTGGCAATGAGGACCATATGTAATAACTATCACATTATGAGAGATTATTTAAGTGTATCAGAAGAGGCTGCTTAAAGAGAATGGGGGAAAGTGAGGATATTGATAGATGATGAAGACAGGTGATTATTAGTTAGCCTTATGTATGAATTGTAAAATTGACTTCTGCTTGAGAAGAAAATTACAAATGATTCACTGCTGTGAATATAGCCATTAACAAAAAGTCAAGAATCCCTGCTCTCATAGAACTTCCATTTTAGTTAGGGAGGACAGACAATAAAAAAAGTCTGTCTCAAAAAAAAAAAAAAAAGTCTGTCTCCCATAAGCTTGGGATAATTTATAGCCCATTTGATATTCTTCGAGCCTTAATTAAAGGCCTAGGTTTAAGATGGATGCCTTTTATGAATCATACCTAAAACTCACACCCCCACCCTCTTGTACCTTTTTCTTGTTTTGTTTTTCTCCTTAGCACCTGTTATTTAATATGCCATGAATTTTATTTATCTGTCAGGGTAGGCTGGGTATACTGAGGTGACGAAGAAACCCTCATATCTCAGTGGCTTACAAGAGCAAGGGTTATGTTCTTATCATCATGGGCTGGCTGGAGTTGTTCTTCATCTTCTGTAATCTGTTGAGGCTGGTGAAGGAAGCTCTTTTTAGAACATTATTCTTAGTCATCATATTTGAATGTAGTAAAGCGCACTGGTTCTTCTACCCGTATTTTTTTTTATTTTTTGTCTTCCTTCATTAAAATGTAAGTTCTATCAAAACAGGAATTGATTTATTATTTCCTCACCACTTTTTAAAATAGCTCCCAGCGCATGGTAGGCATTCAATAAGTGTGAAGAAGGACTTCATGAAGCTGCCTTTTTGGATTCTAGGGAGTCTTCCTGCTTAGAGTGATGAATGATGCACATCTCAGAAATCAAAATCCTTTCATGCTTGTTTGCAGGCATATATGCTTCCGTCTTTACTTGCCATGTTTGCAGGCACTGTGCTAGTTGCTGGGTATATACAGTATATGTGTAAATAGAACAAATATCTCCCTGCTCTAGGTGGAGTATACAATATAGAGGAGGGAGGCAAACATTAAATACATGATTAAATATGAAGTTATGAATTATTAAACCTGTTACAAGGGAAAAGAAGGATTATATGAGATAGAATAATAGGAGCAACCTAATTTGATTTGGATTTGGTAGTTAGGAAAGGCTTTTTTGGAAAAGTGGGATTTAAAACTGAGAGAATGAGTGAATGAGTGAATTCTATACTGAAGAATGAGTAAAGAGACACATTCTAGGGCAGGAGTGTTCCAGGTATTGAGGACCCATGAATATAAGACCCAGACGTATGAAAGAGCTGTCACATTGTAGAAAGCAAATAGTGCTTCATGAAAGTGTGAAGAGAGATAGTGGTAAGAAGTGAGGTTAAAGAGATAGGCAAGGACAAGGCTGTAGTGAGGGTTTAGGTTTTCTTAAGAGCAGTTGGTAGAGGGTTCCCCTTCTCCACATTCTTGCCAACATTTGTTGTTTTCTGTCTTGTTAATTTTTGCCATTCTAATTGGTGTAAGGTGGTATCTCATAATGATTTTGATTTGTATTTCCCTGATGGCATGTGATATTCGACATTTTTTCATGTGTCCAAATCCCAAGAAGCTAGAAATAATCTCATACATTCTAAAAAGAAAGAAAAAGAACAGTGCATAAGTCAAATAAAGGAGAGAAAAATTAAAAAAAAAAAAGCACTTGGAGGACACTGAAAGATTATATGCAATGTGGGACTTGATCCTAGGATCATAACCTGAGCCAAAGGCAGATGCATAACTGAGCCATCCAGGTGTCCCCCTGATCTTCATTTTAAAAGATAATTCTGGCAGTTTTGTGGAGCATGGATTATTGTAGGGCCGAACGAGAATCAAGAGTCCAGTTTGGAAGGCGAGTAAAGTGGTCAGGTTAGGATGAGGGGCAGTGTGGTGGTTGGAAGAGAGAATTGAGTGTTTTTGGAGATGTCAAGGATTAGAGAATGGGGGAGTTCTTGGGGAAATCAGAATCTCTTCTGGATTTTGGCTTGTAAGTTTGTGTGGTTAGAAATGAAAGGGAAAGACTAGATGAAGAACTATTAGTTTGAGGAATTGGAAGAGGATCGGATGTTCAATTCTGAACATGTTAATTTTGAGCTGCCTGTACTTAAGTTGGAGACATCATGTGGGCTATTTTGGAAGAGCCAGAAAATCTGGGCTGAATGTAATTAATGTTCACAGTCCTTTGTTTACAGTTCTGAAATCCAGAATCTCTAAAAACCAAAAGTTTTTTTCTGAAATGAATTTGGCAGCAAAACTTGACCAGAACTGATGTAAGGCTATGTATTTATCCCACCTACATCAAATATACCTGTTTTCCTTTAGAAATATTAATGTGTTTGATAAACAGATGCCATTGTAGATCCTGCTTTCAGTATTGTGAAAGATATGGTAACAAAGCCACATTATCTTTATTTTAAAAATTCAAAATGTTTGAACTCTCAAACATCTCGTTCCAAAGTTTTGAATGAAAGATTATGAGCCTGTGTAAAATAAGGGCTTGTCAGTACTCAAAACCATAATGACATTATCTTTGAATAGAAGAAAGGACCAAGCTCTGAGAGACTCATCATTGACAGTTTGATTGAAGAAGGGATGCTGAAACCCAAGTAGGACAAGCCAGACAAGGAAGAAAACTGGGAAGAATAATGTCATGGCAGCTGGGAAATGATAATATTTCAAGAAGGGTTTAGTTAATTGTATTAAACGAGGTTCTAACTCTAGTGAAAGAAAAAAAAACTTCGATTTCTAAAGCAACCGACATTATTGTAGACTTAAGCAAGTGCTCTTTTGGCTTCTGAAATCTTAACACTTGTTTATAAGACAATTATTGGTTCATTAATTTGGCATCAACATGACTAGTTTCTGTCAGAAAATGTTTCCTTTCAGCTGTTTAATTTGGAAAAATTAGAATTTGCTGGAATCAGTTTTTTATTCATTTATAGTATTTTATAAAAGTGTTTTGAAAGAATTTTCAGCACTCATTTTTCCCTCTCATTTCTTTTATTTTTCATTATTTCCTCCCCCCCTGCAAATTGGCATTTTGTTTATTCTGCTACTTGCAAGATGAGGATATTAATATATTTGAGCAGATGTATAACCATGCTGCTTTTAAGTAAAGGTGATGGTATATACTGTGCTAATGTGTGTATGTTTGTCCTCTTTCAAGTTCCCTCTGTCTCTCTATCACACATGTACAATGACAAAACAGGCTATCATTTCTTAATAGGTAGTAGACTTTAAATTTTAATTTCAGTTAATTAGAAGTGAAAAGAATTCTTTTACATTTTCGTCTTTCTTTGTTCCAGGCCTAGCATGTTGACCTAATCCCAGTGGGACAGGGTATATCAGTGTAGTGAAAATCAGATTTGGGTGACAGGACCTGTATTTCTTTACTAGTGGAAAAAGAAATTGAGTGTGTGGGATGAAAGAGGTTAGGATTTATTTGGAATATTTGTGGTTTAATTATTTTCATTTGGGGTTAAGAAAAAGCATAATAAAAATTGTGAATTTTCTTTATGTGTATGTTTTCTACTATTAACATTTAATGACATTTAAAAACTGGAAAAATATGGAGATTTTGTTTAAACAGGTGGCTCGTTCAAGGAAGCTTTGAGATTTTGCTTAAACAACACCTTCAGATTAGGGAACTTCAGTATTAGGGTGCTTTTTAAAAAAATTTTTTAAATTAACATACAATGTATTATTTGTTTCAGGGGTACAAGTCTGTGAATCATCAGTTTTAAACAATTCACAGCACTCATCATAGCACATACCCTCCACAGTGTCCATCACCCACCCACCCCTTCCCTCCCTCCCCACTCCCCTCCAGCAACCCTCCTCCTGAGATTAAGAGTCTCTTATGGTTTGTCTCCCGTTATGTATTAGAGTGGCTGATAAAGTTGTACTTTTTCTTTCTTTTTTTTATTAACTTTTTTTTTTTAAGATTTTATTTATTCGACAGAGAGAGAGATCACAAGTAGGCAGAGAGGCAGGCAGAGAGAGAGAGAGAGGAGGGGAAGCAGGCTTCCTGCTGAGCAGAGAGCCCGATGTGGGGCTCGATCCCAGGACCCTGGGATCATGACCTGAGCCGAAGGCAGAGGCTTAACCTACTGAGCCACCCAGGCGCCCTGTAACTTTTTTTTTTTTTAATTTTTTAAATTAACATATAATGTATTATTAGCCTCAGGGGTACAGGTCTGTGAATCGCCAGCTTTACCCTTCACAGCACTCACTATAGCACATACCTTCCCCAGTGTCCATAACCTAGCCACCCCCACCAACCCTAGTTTGTTTTGTGAGATTAAGAGTCTCTTATGGTTTGTCTCCCTCCCGATCCCATCTTGTTTCATTTATTCCTTTCCTTACCCTCCTAATCCCCACGTTGCCTCTCATTTTGTACTTTTTATTTTTTATTTTTATTTATTTCTTTAAGAAAGAGAGTATGTGAATAGAGCAGGGGGACGGGTGTAGGGAGAGGGAGAAAGAGAATCCCAAGCAAACTTCCTGCTGAGCATGGAGCCCTTTGCCAGGCTTGACCTCACAACCCTGAGATCATGACCTGATCCAAAATCAGAAGTCAGATGCTTAACTGACTTGGCCATGCAGGCGTCCCCAAAATTGTACTTTTTAAAAAAATTAATGTAACAATACATATGAATACAGTATTAGGGTGCTTTTTAAAATTTTTTTAAAAATTAAGATATAATGTATTATTTGAAATTTCAAGGAAGAAAAGTCTGATTTGTTCAAGAAAGTTCATTTATTTATATCCAAATACTTGAGACTATAGTCCCATTGTTGAATTACTCTATGTTTAGTTCACTAATTCTGAGGAAACTGATATTTAGCAGATCCCCTACCCCCTCTAAAAACCCAGCACAGTTTCTAAATTGCATCTGAATCACGCTTTGAGTTTCTGTGTGGCTTCATGCTTCAAGATATTTTTAAATAATTAAGGCTATGTTTTAATCATTGGTTTTTGTTTTTTTTTTCAGATTTATTTATTTATTTGACAGAGAGAAACAATGAGAGAAAGAATACAAGCAGGGGAAGCGGGAGAGGGAGAAGCAGGCTTCCCGCCAAGCAGGGAACCTGATGTGGGGCTCAATGTGTGGCTCCATCCCAGGATGCTGGAATCATGACCTGAGCTGAAGGCAGATGCTTAAGGGCGGAGTCACCCAGGCGCCTTCAGTGTAGCTCTTTCAAAAGAGAATGAAGATGGCGCAGTTTTCTTGGGATTAGGGATTATCCATATGAAATTTGTGGCTGTTTGACTTAGCTTTTCTAGATTTGGATCTTACCTGTCAGTGAGAAAATATCTTGTTCATTAAATTGCAGAAATTTAAGCTGAGGGCGAATTTGTATAATATGAACATAAAATCATGCTTCTGCCAATACTCCTCACTTCTTAAGAGAGTAATTCAGAATCTTGAAATGCTGTTATTCTCATTGATTTGGTCAAAATTGGTCAAAGCAAGACATTTTAACCCCACCATTTCTCATGAATAAAATTGATTTAAGTTTTTGGACTATTGTTGCATTGTTGCCAGAACTATAATTTCACCATTACTGATTTTTTTTTAAAAAGTTCAGACCCTTTGTAAAAATACGAACATGATCATTTAGCTTTGTGATTTTCTCATCATGTGACGCATTGCTGAAGAAAATTGTGTATTAAATAGGGGGTAAGGGAACTTAATTTGATAATCTAGCCAGAAAAAATAACAAGACATTTAGTCCTATTCCTTAGAACTGATTTAATTTGGCAGGGAAAAAAAGGGTAATCAGGTTTGTGCACTTGAAATGACAAATCTGTTTTGTTTGAAAATAGCTAGTTCAGCATTTCCCAAGTCCTGTTTTGAGGAATATTATTGTTGTGTGAGATATTAATAGATACTCAGAGAAGAAGAAAAACAAAAAGGGCTGTGTGGTCAAATTTGGAAAACACTGGGTTAAGCAAAATGAAACATGTTTTATTTCAGTATTTCTCAGGCTTCTTAATTTGTGTATTAGAAGCCAAGTCTAGCAGTGGTTTTCTTCCTGGGGAATAAATATCAGAATGACCTGGGAATTTTTTCCAAACAACATTCTCATCTTTTTCCACCCTCATTCCCCAGGGAGTAGTAGAGAATCTATGCATTCTATGGTTTGAAAACATTTTCCAGGTGATTGGATATATCCCTACCTTCTGTTGAGAACTGTTGAGATGGAGTATACAGGCATTTCCATATTTCTTTGACCAGAGATTACCTCTTTGAAAGCTAGGTAATAACATTTCAAGGATTAGACACTTTGAGAGTCTTCGGGCTAGGTTATAAAGTCTTCAGAAGTAAGCAGTAGCTTTTGCTCTGCCAATTAACTGGTCTTCAGTTGGAAACACTTCTACCTTCGCTTTCATGAAACTTCTCATTTGGGTCTCCTTCCAGTTTTCTGACTGTGATTATAGATTTTAATTTGTGGTGTCTTCAAACTCTGAACAAGTTCAGAGAGACGGCATAGTGAGAAATGGCATAGGGAAAAGTTAATGTATTAAAAAGTTAAACGTTTCAGTATATTTATTGGACTCATTTGTCTAGAAGTATTGTTAAACATTACATAATAACATTAGTTCGCTAAATTTGGTTAGCTATATTGAGATGATTTAAAAGGTCTTTTGACTGCAAGTTCAAGCCCATGTTGGGGGCTTGAATAAATAATAATTTATAGTAAATAATAATAATTTTAAAGTTTAGATTTGATTTTAAATTTGAAATTAAAGTTTTAATTTCAGAGTGTATTTTTAATGTAGATATATAACTTTTCATATTTGTTACCCAGAAGTTTCAAGATATTGAAGAAGCTCATCTCATTCACATAAAGGAAATTATAGAATCCTTGTCAAATGCTATAAAGGAAATTCATTTGCAAATAGGCCAGGTAAGTTTTTCCTTTTGTTGAAATGACTCATGAAAATTTTATGTTCATTTATGACTGTTTAAAAATCTAAAACTCAGTATGATACTGGATTATTTCAGGTAAGAATGTGTATTTATAAGTATTAAATATAAACTGGATTTTTTGGGACCCCCCCACCAGGTGACTCAGTTAAGCATCTGCCTTCAGCTTAGGTCATGATCACATGGTCCTGGGATCAAGTCCTTCATTGCACTCCCTGCTCTAGGCAGTTTGCTTCTCCCTCTGCCTGACACTCCCCTTGCTTGTGTGCACGCTTGCGTGTGCTCTCTCTATCTGACAAATAAGATCTTAAAAAAAAAAATAAGCTGAATTTTTGATTGGCCAAGGATGATAACTCAAACCAATTGTTAAAATTAATGATAGCTCAGTCCTTTTACTTTAAAATTCTGGAGTTATCAATTTTTGGATTTTTTAAATAATTTTGCTCTAGAACAATAGTAAGTTACAGAACTTGGCCTTAAATGGGTACCTGGGTGACTCAGTTGCTTCAGTGTCTGACTTTAGCTCAGGTCATGATCTCAGAGTCCTGGATTGAGCCCTGTGTTGGGCTCCCCACTTGGCAGGGAGTCTGCCTCTCCTTCTCCTTCTGGAGCACACGATTCTTGAACTCAGGGCTGTGAGTTGGAGCCCCACTTTGGGTATAGGGATTACTTAAAAACAAAAATCTTTAAGAAAAAAAAATTTTTTTCCCAAAAATACAAAAGCAGTTTAATTATGACACCTTGGAGTATACTGAGGTAGAGTAGAGAAAGATGAGGTCTGTTATTTTTTTTATTTTTAAGGATTTAAATATTATTAGAGATCTATATAAGTTTTAACTTATCATAAGAATTATGTGTCTAAAACATTCAAAGATGAGGAAGGGAAACTTCCTTGACTTCTAAGGCTGTATCTTTAGAGCTTCATGTAAACAGTGGCTGATACCCGCAGGTCTACTAATGCTACAAGGTAAGAGATCATGTTAGGTAAATTAAAGTTCTCAAAGGTTTTGGGTCAAAAAAACCCCCACATGTTTTGGTATAATGAATTTTAATTGCTTTATGCAAGTTTTGTCTGAAATACAGTAAGAATTTTTGATGGAAAAAGAAAAAAATTACCTTTATTTCATTTTAATAGGTCCATGAAGAATTTATAAATAACATGGCTAACACTACAGTTGAAAGCTTGATTCAAAAGTTTGCTGAGTCAAAAGGCACTGGGAAGGAAAGACCTGGTAAGATGATGAACTCTGTTAAGGAGATGTATACAGATCTCTCTTCTAGCAACAAATATATTCGATTTTAAATTCCCAAGCTGCAAAATGGAGCTTGGGAGATACCTAAAAATCTATGTAAAATATCAAGTATTTACTTTGTGTCTGATATGTTAAATTAATATTTTTATTCTGGCCTTTAGTGGTTAATAATTTAATATTAAAGCAATTATAATCTTTAGTAAATTAATATGTTGTCATTTATTTGTATTTTTTAAAGACTTAGCAACAGAAGCCCAGTTTATTTTTTCATTTTAAAAAAATTTTAAATTAAAAAATTTTAATTGATTATAATTAATTTTAATTAATTTTTAATTAATTTTTTTTGAATTTATGGACATTGACACAGAATGTTATGTTAGTTTCACATGTGCAACATGGTAATTCACCTTCTCTGTGGGTTATGCTGTGCTCACCACAAGTGTGGGTACCATCTATCACCATACAACACTATTACAATGTCATTGTCTATATTCCCTATGAACAGAAGGCATTTTAGTAAGAGGAAGGTGGGAAAGAATATTGAGCCCTGAGAACATTGAGGCCAACAGAGAACCTTTCATAAAATTTAATAACTTGTAAAATTTCCTTATTGAAATATATATGCAACATATATGTGTTGAATATATAAGGTATATATTTGTTGCATACATATATTGAATATATATGTTGATTTTATTACATATATACTTGTCACATGTTAAAACATTCAAGACAGTGTTTCACATGCTGGAGATACACCATTGAACAAATGAGTACAGGAATCCTGGTTCCTGTTTTATGAACAAATAATTACAGTGTCCTGAATCTTACTTTTAATAAACATGTTATATCAGATGTACTAAGTAGCCCATTGTCTTGCCCTTCTCAGCATAGAGCTTCCAGATTTCTTGATTTTGTTTATTGGTTACTCTACCATGTTCTTGTAAGATAATTTGTTTCACTCTATAGGTAAAAATAATGCAGTCTAGTAAAGAAATTAAAATATGGTTTGGAATTCAGGAAAATGGTTAAGTGATTTGTCGGGAAGTCTGGGAGCCATTTTTCTTTAGTGCAGTTCCCAGAACTAAAGCTTGTAACCTAAATTTTCCTTACTTTTTCTTTTCAGATTTTATTAACTCTCAAATCATTGGTTCACTTGTGTTAGTATTTTCCCTTCAAATCTTCTTTTCGTGCTTTCTCTGCCTACCTAACCAGTTGTAGCAGCTTGTTTTCTGAATACTGGCATAGTAGAGATTTCTTCTCTAATCCATTTTACATGTTATACAGCACATTCGTATTTTGACTATACAATTATGAACTTACAATTGCACTAAAATCTTTTGACTTTTCGTTGTAGACAGTGAAATTTAGGCTCTGGATTTGGATGAAGCTTTTCAGGATCTGCTCTGACTAGTCTTTAGTCTTACTTTCTGTTATGACCCTTCACTGTAGCCAACTCGAACTGCTTGCTATTTCCTGTACATGTCCCCTTTCCCCCTTGGTATCTTAGTTGCCCTTATGTTCCTTTTCTAGGAAATGCTATATCCCATTTCTTTCCTGCTCTGTGTCTTCCCATTTATTTGTCAAGTAAATAAATTCTTAAATACCCAGGTCATTTGCTACTTCCTCTGTCAAAAGTGCCAGTGAACTTTAACTGTACTTTTTTCCCTTCCTTTTTTTGTTATTGGTGCTATCTACCTTAAATTTTAATAATTGTGCAGATGTAAAGAAAAGTTCTGTATTTGATTTCATCTGTTTATCTTCTTCATGGGTAAAGAGTACATTTTTGTTGAGTGAACTAACAAATGGACATAGAAATAATAAATAGAAATAGAAATACTATAGAAATAGTAAAGTTAGGATGTTAGGGAGGTTACGGTGTTTAGATTTGCTATTAGAAAATTCTTGGTGAGGAATAATAAATAATTATGGTTAAAGTTTGGTGAGACTTACTCTTTGCCATATAATGTGCCAACCACTTTGCAGCCAAACTTTGATCTTCAGGAACTGTTTGAAGTAGGTACTATTTTTTTTTTTAAAGATTTTATTCATTTATTTGATAGACAGAGATCACAAGTAGGCAGAGAGGCAGACAGAGAGAGAGAGAGGAGGAAGCAGGCTCCCCGCCGAGCAGAGAGCCCGATGCGGGTCTCGATCCCAGGACCCTGAGACCATGACCTGAACCGAAGGCAGAGGCTTCAACCCACTGAGCCACCCAGGCACCCCTGAAGTAGGTACTATTATTCTCATTTTAAAGATGAGGGAAATGTTGAGAGGTTAAATGATTTGCCTAAGTTAGTACATGGCAAAGCAGATAGTAAAATGCCAGGATTTTTGACCCCAGGTACTGTGCTTCAGAGAAACTAGAATAGAATGAAGTAAGTTTACATATATAAAGAGAATGAGGATGTTGAGATACATAACTACAGAAAAGTATGAAACCCTAAAATTCCTTATAAAGAAATTAAATTATGGGGCACCTGGGTGGCGCAGTTGGTTAAACATCTGACTCTTCATTTTGGGTCAGATCATGGTCTCAGAATTGTGAGAGCGAGCTCCGTGTCAGGCTTTGGAGCTTGCTTAGGATTCTGTCTCTCCCTCCACCCCTCACCCCCTGCGTGTGCACGCTCGCTCTCTCTTGCTCTCTCAAAAAACAAACAAAAAAACCCCATATATATATATATATATATATATATATATATATATATATATATATATATATATATATATATTATGAAGACATTAAGAGAGGTAAAAACAGTTGGAGAACAAATACGGTTTTTATATAAAGCATTTAGAAGTGCTGATAGATAAAAGCAGAGATGTATTGGCTGGTTAAAAGTGCCTCAGAACACTAAACAAGATCAGTAGATTGTATTGTCATTGGTATCCTGTTTGTGACATGATGTTTTCAAGTTTTGCAAAATGTTATCGCTGCAGGAAATTGGGCAAAGTATACAAGGAATCTCCCTGTATTTCTTTTTTTTACAACTGTATGTGAATCTATAATTATCCTAATAAAAATTACAGTTATTTTAGGGGCACGTGGGTGGCTCAGTTGGTTGTGTGTGATTTTGCCTTGGGTCATGATCTCATGGGTCGTGGGATTGATCCCCATGTCCCGCTCCGCGCTTAGCACAGAATTCGCCTCAGATTCTCTGCCTCTCCTTCTGTTCCTCCTTCAGCCTGTGCTCGCATGCATGCACTCTCTCTCTCTCTCTCTCAAATAAATAAAAATCTTTAAAAAATTCAGTTATTTTCTTATCTGTGGTATTGCTTAGCCCTGTAGTTTGTGGTCTGTTCTTTATCAGCAGTAAAATTTTTAAGCCTCGTTGCCCTCATCTGTAAAGTGGGGATAATAATAGTATTTCTCCATGGGGTTTTTCTGGGGGTTATATGAGATAATGTAATACTTATTGAATACTTGATAAATACTATGTTAAAAAAGTAATACGTTTCTGATAAATGGGTAGCTAATTATAGATACTGTTTCTTTTATAAATTTAGACATAGTGGCCTCAAGATATACTGTGACATGTAGAAAGTCCATATATCTAAATGACAAGGCCAGTAATGATGATGACATGAGCTTTCCTAGAATAATCACTAAGCCAAGAATTAGGTGACTGTTTGAGGGTGACTGTTGACACAGTGATTATAAATGACTGATTTAAAAAAAAAATGGTCCTAGAACTAACTTTAAAAAGAAAGTATGGTGTCAGAGTGGAGGGGATAGAATAAATATTACTTCTCTAGTTGGCTTGCTATGGGTGACTAGTTTAATAGCTCTTTCTTTGTATTTGTTCAGCTTATGGGCACCTGAACAAGTGAGTCTGGGGGCCTGTTTCAGTGATGAAAATTTTGTGTTTCTCAGAAGAATAATATACTCAAAAATTTGCATCTGATTACATGAAATTCATAGACTTAAAGGATTTTGTTTTGTGAGATGTATTCTTTCAGTTGTATATACTGCTGATTGCTGTTAATATTTTCTTTGTGTTGTTTTGTAAGGGCCCCCTCTGGTGGATGAATTGCTGCTTAAACGTTTTCATCCTGTGGGATTTATACTTTAAAAAGAAAACAAGTTCATTAAAAATTTATATATCTAAAAATTAACCTGTTTTCTTGTGTTGAAAATGACCATTTTTTCATCAGTCAGTTACCTGTTCAGAGATACAACCTTTAACTTTATGTCCAATTTTCTTATGCAAATCAAACACTTTGAGAGCATTAAATCTTTTTTTAATTCATTGAGACTGTTTTATACTACTTATTAAATGAAGTGCTTTTTTTGTCATTACTTTTTAAAAAATCAGGATGGGGGGGCGCCTGGGTGGCTCAGTGGGTTAAGCCGCTGAGGTCAGGTCATGATCTCAGGGTCCTGGGATCGAGTCCCGCATCGGGCTCTCTGCTCAGCAGGGAGCCTGCTTCCCTCTCTCTCTCTCTCTCTCTCTCTGCCTGCCTCTCTGTCTACTTGTGATCTCTCTCTGCCAAATAAATAAATAAAATCTTTAAAAAAAAATAAATAAATAAAAAAATAAAAAATCAGGATGGGGTGCCTGGGTGGCTTAGTCAGTTAAGTGTCTGACTCTTGGTTTCAGCCGGGTTATGATCTCTGAGTTGTGAGATTGAGCCCCGATGGGGCTCCATGCAGAGTCTGCTTGTCCCTCTTCCTCCCCCTGCCACTCATGTGCACATGGGCGCACACTCTCTCTCTCAAATAAAGAAAATCTTTAAAAAAATTTAAAAATTAAGATATAATTGACATATAGTATTATATTCATTTTAGATGTGCAATGTAATGATTTGATGTGTGTATATGAAAAATGATTAACAAAATAAGTTTAGGTAATGTACATCTCTATGCAGTTAGAGTTTTTTTTTCCTTGTGATGAGAACTTTTAAGAACTACTTTCCCAGTACCTTTCAAATGTGCAGTACAGTATTTAACTATAGTCACCATGCTATATATTATTACA